ATGGTAAATTTTAAGTTATATATGGTTTGTATATACTATTCAATCAAACTGAAGGTTGGCTCTTCACATGTATGCCTTCATAGGACTGAACTTGTCAAGCTGAGGAGATATTCTGATTCAAAGTCAGTTCTTGATGTAGCATAGTTGATGCTGGTAACCAACTAAGGCACAACTAAGAGTGTTTCTTGCTGAGCTGACAGACAAATGCTATACAAGTCTTCCATTCCTTTGAACTGATTGACCGTTGTACAAGGGTGTATTGGTTGTCTGGAATATAATTAATATAGTGTCTATACAACCCACATAAAGCTATCATTTTACTGTTTTCTTTTTGTAGTTTGTCAAAAAAAAATCAGTCACCTATGCTTTACACTGTGGGGTCAGTTCACAATCTAGTGTTCCTGTTATCAAGAGCACTACATAAACCCAGCAATATGTATAGATAAATTCGATATTCTGTTAAGATGTGTCTTCTGTCATGCAAAATAAGTCTTGGCTATCAAGAATCTTATAGAGTTGTAACCCTGTGATGCAGTTGCCAAATTCCAAAACACACACACACACACAAAAAAAAAAAAACAAGCCATAGCTTGTCCCAGGCTTTTAAGAGACCCCAGATCTTGTTTGAAGATGCCAGCACAACTGAAGAGATAATAGAAGTTCATGTAATGTGGGACATGGGAGGGCTTTCAAGGTACCAGGCAGGAAGGAGAGGAATCGGCAGGACTGGGCACACCCCGAGGCATGGGTTGACAGCAGTAAGAAGTTAAAGTGAGTGAGATAAAACCTATGTGTTTGACATAGTGAAAAATGAGAGAGAAAATGTGGATCCAGCTCTAGAATCTGATCTCAAATTGTGTTCAGATCAAGTATTTTTGGGATCAGTGTGGCCATACGGTGTAGGATGCCCTAGATAAGAGTAAAATAAAAAACCAGAGCATGTCTTGTGAAGCTGTTATATTCTCCCTAGGAAAGGCATGGGCAGCACTCATGGTGTCAGAGCTTCAAGGTGGGAGTGGCTCGAGGCTGTTGCCCTGCCCCATATCACTGTAGAATTAGGCAATTGACAAGATAATAGAGTGGGGTGGGGGTCAAGAAGAGGTGTAAGAAAATGTTCTATTAAGTAGCAAGTGATGAAAAATCAAGATTTCAAACTCCAGATATGATTATAGAGGTTTAAGCAGAAAATACTGCTTTAAAAAGCAAAATCCCACTCTTGTTTTCAACCTGCCATAACTTAATTCCTAATATAAATCACATAATTAGTCTACCGCAAGTCTTGAATCAATACTACAAGTTCTCCTATTCTTTGAATTGTATACTCCTTTATTTTATCATGCTGGTTTTCCCTGGGAACTTTAAAATTAAATAAATGTTTTTATGTTTCTCAGCATATTTAGCTTAAATTACCAATTAGTACTTTATTGTACATTTGCTTTTAAAATTTATGCTATGACAGATACTTAAATATTTACTGTGAAAATAATAATACAAAAAAACCTTTAAGTTTTAAGATTACCTGAGTGTTTTTCTATGCATCATTCAGTTAAATCTCTGAGGTTTACTTTTAATGTAATAAACATGGAATGATTATTGTCACTTTACAGTCAGAAGATTCACTCAACTTCAGTGAGCTGAAGTAAAGGAATGAGCTGAGAAGCTAGAATGTGAATCTGAGTCTTCTGATTCCAAGCAAGAGTAGCTTTCAGCTGCAGGAAAAATGGACTTTTACCTTTCACATTACACAATTTTACAACTGAACAAAGCCTTAATGATCAATTATTATAGTGATTTGGCAAACTTCTGGAAATGACATACTATGAATATTTTACTTTAATAGATTCTATAATCTTTGTTGCAATAATCACTTCCAAAATTATAGTGCAAAAGCAGACATAGATACTACAGACAGGAACTGTTGCTATAAATTTGCAATAAAACTTTATTTACAGCAATAGGCTGCAGGTAGAATTTGTCTATCGGCTATAGTTTACTGATCCCCAGTCCATTCTCTTTGAGCTTTATTTCTCAGAAAACAACTGCTTTCTATCTAGAGAGCTTACTAGATTTATGGAGGCTTCTCTGGCTGGAGCCCAGCAATCAATTGTATCTTGCTGCTTTTGATTCTAATGTCTCTCTCTAAAGAGGCACTTAATAATATCAGTCTAATTGGCAATGTTTGTATCTTTCCTATCCTCTGCCCTCTAAGGTGTAGATGGTATTCAATTTAGGTTTTTTTTTTTTATGGTGTCTATGGAATTTGTTTAGGTAGTCAATAATGCCTTAATTGTGCTGACAGAGTTAATTGATTATGTCTTTCTCCGGAGACTTGGAGACCTCTAGTCCCTGGAACTGTTGATCTGCCTTTCTTCAAGATTGTTCACTGTGCAGCACTGTCAAACAAAATCTTTAACAAGCAGACTCGGTGACAATTGTTATCACTCCAGTTTTGAAACCAAGACTTGTAATAGATCACAGGAAGCCTAAGAATTGGTGCTTGCATCTCTCTCCACCTAATGTTCCAAGAGAAATATGATTAGCTTTAACTTGATAGTATATATATATATATATATATATATATATATATATACTATCAGAAGTAAAACATTCATGTGATTGTATTATGTAGAATACATTTTATTATTCCTCGAAAGAGGCAACGTGGTTACATAAAATTGCCTAATTTGAAATGACTAAATATTTTCCAAGTGCTTTTGATTTGTAACTCAAGGATTCTGTTAACAACCTTAGTCAAAGGCCAGAAATTTACTTCTATAGTTAAAGCCCTAAGATTTGATTTTAGAAAGCCTATCTTTATTACATTTTCTACTTCTAAAGAACTGTGTTTTTTATTAGTGTCAGGCCGGTTTTGTTCCTCCACGGTGCTTGGAGTTTAAACTAGAAGATTAAAAACAAGATAGGAAACTTCTGCTCAGCGTTATCCTCTTTCCAACTCTCTCTCTCTCTCTCTGTCTCTGTCCCTCTCTTTCTGTATTTTTTTCAAAGATTGTTAGCAAACAAACCACATTGTTTTTGATTTTGGGTAAAATTTGATGGCATACATATATCCAACTTGAAGACTATTTTTTCCCTCATCCAGGAGGAAATTGAAACTATTTGTGCACCATTGCAAAACCCCTCTAAGTTCATAAAGAAGCCACAACACACATCCTGATATTTCTTTTGTGTCTGTGTACTGGTTTTACTGTCTCTATTGGAATGCGTGAGTTCATGCATGATCTTAGGGAGCTGAAAACGTGATCACTGTTGCAGGGAGAATAAAATTCAGAATGAAATCTAAATCAGGCCAAGGTGGTATTTCTCATTTGTAGTAAATGTAGACATAAAGTTAACTGAAAAAGCCAGAAACTGTATCCTAAGAACAAACTCATGTTATACTGGAGGAAAAAAGGTTTGAAAATTTGATAAGAATAATATAGAATTGAAAATAATTTGATAATGAAATGTTGAGGATTACTGGATTAGAAAGAAAAGAATAATCAGTATTTTGCCCTTTGACATTTTGACAAAGTACTTTGTCTTTTGACATTTTGGAAAATTTGTAAATAATTTACAATATTGGGAATGATGAAGTTGAATGAAGGGAAAGAAAAGCAAGGAAAAGAGGTACTACAAATAAATAAAGAAAATTAAAAATAAATAAATCAGTCTATTAAATTCATTATCTGCTACATCATTCTGTAATATATTAAAATTAACTCTAATTTTGTGGTATTCATTTCATAGTAGGCAAAAGTAAATTAATACATAGGAACAATAGAAACCTACTTTAGCATATAGTATTATCAGTGATTACTATGGCACCTAGATGTCAGACAGCACTGGAAATATATCTACTAAGATTTATTTGCATATAAGGAAGGAATAAACCAGTCCAGGATAATCTTACAATAACCAGTACTTACCTTTCTGGTTAAAGTCATGCTCAAGGAAGGCAAAGCATACATTTTCAGTACAGAATTGGCAGTACTATTTTGATTTATGGGTTCAGGATTGTCTATATATTTTCTTTTTATTCCTTTACAGTTTTCTTATATTCAGCTTTTGTATTACTACAAAAAGGCTCTATGAATACTGTTGCAAACTATAACCTTATAATAGAAGCTTTTCAAATATTCCTATTTTTTGCTGTGACCAAAATCTCTTGATTTGTAGAGTAAAAAACAGACTCACTATGAGCCTTAAGCATCTTAGGTACTTTAAAATAGAGTTAGAATGAGTTTTTCAACATACAAAATGATTTATAAATGAATTTTACTTGCTAAAAGTTCATTTCTTGTCCTATATTGGTTGCACTTGTGTTATAAGCCAAGTAAGAATGGAGTTAATTGTTGGAAAAGTAGTCTTTTTTTATAAAGCAATGAAAAAATTACCTTTGCTAGATTTTTTTGAATTATGTTTACAGAAGAACAGCATGATTCCAGAAACAAAGCACAGAATAAAGGGTCACGTACAAGATCTTCTAACTTGAAAGGTCTTTGAATATATATTCTTGGATCTAGAGAAGAATAATGGCATCTGCCTTTGATTATAGCTAGAAGGATAAATTCAAATACTGGGACTGTATTTAAATATTTCAACATATACAATGAAATTATGTTCTGGGAATATGGCACATGGTGATTATTTTAACATAATTATAGATGTCTGGCTGGTTGTCTTTGAAATAAATTATTAAAAATAAGATATTCGTGGAAATACTGAAATTCTTCAGGATTCAGTCATGTTTCTCTCAGGAAATTCAAAACAAATTATTTAAATGAACATTTCTGTTCGCTTCATGATTGCTCAAGTTAACTGTACTGAAGGATTTTGGGAAAATGCGTCTGTGAGTTGTGTAAGAAATATAACAAAATCATCCAAATATTTAGAAAAGGAAAAGGATCTGTGAACCCATGGGCTCCTTACTCCCAGGATTCAGATGGCCATGTGAACTTACAGTGATTTTCACGGTGTGTGTTGTTTCCCCCACATTGCAGATAGTCTTCAATTTTACCACCCTGGATCTCTACAAGAGCAGCTTGTGCTGGTACGACTATATTGAAGTGAGAGACGGGCACTGGAGAAAGTCGCCTCTCCTTGGTGAGAAAAGACTCCACTCATGTGTGGTTTTGTGGATTTTCTGTCTTGTGTAGAGATCAGAGATTCTTTCAAGAGTCATGTTAGCATTCCAATGTGTGAGGCTGCATGATCTTTATTTTTTTATATTTTGTTCATCTATACCTACAAAGACTCAAGACAAATACATATAGACTACAGAGGTTTACAAGAGGCAAGATACTGGGATCTGAACAGAATAGTTCAGAAGAGCATTTTCCTGCATTATGGTTATCATGGCATCTCATAATGTTTCTTCTGTATTTTCAATTCGAGAATTATAATTTCAATTAAAAATGGATAAATTTATGTATGCATGCAAGTCTCTGGTGTGTGTGTGTGTGCTTGTTTTGTTTCGTCTTTGCTAAGGCAACCCAGTATGAGTTGTCAGGGAAAAGTGTGGTAGCTGGCTTCCTGTGCCAAGCATATTTGCTTTTACTGTAGATATCAGAGATTTGTTTCTCAGAGTTTTGTTTTATTGTTTTGCTTTTTGTTTTAGTGGTATGTGTGTGTGTGTGTGTGTGTGTGTGTGTGTGTGTGTGCAGAGGCATTTGTAGTCTGTGTCATTAACTGTGGGTCAAGCTTGGCACTCATGGAAGCCTGCTGTCAACATTCAGCCATGGAGCCTGGTTCACTGTTGCCTTCTATTTTGCTCGCTTCCTCTGCTCTGAGGTGAGAGCCCTTGTGAGCTTGTGAGCCTCTAATCTATACTGATATATTTTTTCTTTGAGATTGTGACTTTCTCTTTATTTTTAGAAATAGCTTTGCTCAGTGGTAATTATGTGCTAGACATATCTTTTGTCTCAGCATCTAAAACCTGCTGATTGGACAATATTTGCAATAAAAGTGACAGCAGTCTCAGGAAGGTCAAGAAATCTGTAGAAAATAACAAAGTGAACTAATGTGATAAGTCAGGTTAGGAAAACATCGCTCTCTACATTTTAATTTTTTTAAAAAACGTTGCCATGTACATTTAGTTTTGAAGCCTGAATGAAGTGATTTGTCGTAAGTATTTGTGAATTCCAAAGAAAACATTTCATAGAAGTGATTTTGGAAAATCAAATCAGTAGATAAAACTGGGAAACACTTCCTCGTAGGGCATCATCTGCTCTATATGTTCAATGACCTTATATTCTGTGTTGCAGATTTCATTTGAAAAACTTGCGGCACTGTTTCTTGTACAATTGTTCTGATGTATGTAGCCTTCAGATTGGTGGCATCAGACCCACCGGAAAGTGTGAGAACTATAAACAGTCTGGATCCACTCCTCAGAATTAGAATTGGATGTCGACAGATTTCCTGGCAGTTCACATACACTGCTCTGTGTCTCTAATTTACTTTGCCCATTGAGGAGTTACCTCTTCATCCATTAACTGTCTACATGTATTAGCTGTGTTCAAGTTGGCTACCATTTTTCATATATTTAAACTATGCTGGGTATGAATTAATTGGCAGCACACAAAAATGGGTAACAATATAATTCATTTATATAATTATTTCATGTGCTTTGTCATATCTATCCATTTGTCTTTGTAAGAAAACTTACAAGCCCAAGAAAGGAATAGAATTATAATGTTTTTTTGCAAGCAAAAAGTCTTTGTGGAAAGACAGGGGAGGAAAAAAAGATAGGTATCATTGTCTTCATTGTCCTACAGATACGCAATTAGAAAAAAATAGGAACTCAGACTTAAGTTTTCTGGTACTGTTTGTTACTGTGCTTGTGACCTAAGAGGAGATGGGATGTTCGCAATTAATATGAGATCCTGGGAGAAAAAATCAAGTTCTCCTGAGGAGCTATAACTGAACCTGGCTGGAGAATGATTTCCTCTTTCAGCTGGGAGCACATTTTCTTTTCAGTACTTGGATGAAACCCAGGGCTTTCACACTGAGCTCCTTACCTAGCCCTTCTTTATTGAGTCAAGTGCTTGCTCATCACTAAGATGCAGTGGTAGGAATCAAACTTGCAATCTTCCTGTCTTAGCCTTTGAGGGTAAAGTTACAGGCATGGATCAGCATACCTAGCAAGGGAACACGATGTTAACAAAGTTATTCACCTAATAATGACCAGATGGACAATTTGAGTCACCTCTCAACTATGTCTGTGTACTGTAGAGTGACACTTTCCATTTCAGTGTATTGTGTGATGTTTTGTAAACATCCTTTCTGGGCTTACTCTTGATACTAATAATACTTGATATATTATAAATGCAGATGTAGAGATTGTTTCCAATGTTAATCTTTACTAAGTCAATATTAAGGAATAATTATTCCTCTCATTACCAATGATAGAAGCATGTCTCAAATGTGGTTTTACGTAATGGTATTGTAGCCGGCATGGTAGAGCCTAGAGTCATATTTAGGAATTTCTCCTCTTTTATTCCTTTTAGGTAGATTCTGTGGGGACAAAGTACCTGAAGTTCTCACCTCTACAGACAGCAGGATGTGGATTGAGTTTCGTAGCAGCAGTAACTGGGTAGGAAAAGGGTTTGCCGCTGTGTATGAAGGCAAGTTTGCATTACGCTTAAGAGATTGGTTCTTCTTAGATCTCACAGCAGAAGTGTCCAGTCTCTGAATTTTATTAGAATGATATTTTAACCATGTTTTTAAAATACAAAAGCATTTTAATATTCGTGGGATCATTTTAGGGGGATTTTAAATTGTGAAGTCTGGTATCAGTGATAAAAACTGAATGTGCTCAGTGACAGAAGATAAATGGCAAAAGAGTCCATGCTGTGTTTCACAATGCCATTCAAATATTCTGAAAAAAAAATGTGCTCTTCTTTTTAGTGATTTTGTATTTATTTGGTCTCCAACTGCTAAACTACTCCATTATGGGAAACTGCACAGAAAGTAATTGTGCACATTTCTGAAGCACGCTTTGTCTAAATAAGAGAATCAGCATTTGAGGAAGAATTTATTGCATGCTTTGTTCTATATTGCTCTGAAACAATAAACTGGCATTGTACTTCCTGGCTTTAAAAGCATCCCTTTTCTCGCCAGCTTGGGGGTGGAGGAGACCCTTCCTACTACAGGAGTTTAGGTAATTTTCAAGACAGAAGGTTTCCACATCCCTTAAACTTTTAAGGACATGGAAGCATTTCATTTAAAGATTAACTGCATAGCCATAAGGATCATGAGAACGTAGCTCAGGTGTTGAGCACACAGCAACCTACTGCCATGGGCCTGAGATAGCTTTGCTCGAGTGAGGTTTCCACTCTGATGAACTATTTTACCTATTTCTTCAGCAGGAAGACCCTCAGGGTCTCATAGAACTCACATAGAATCAATTTGTAAAATCCCTAAAAGCTTTTAGAAGTTAACAACAACAAAAAGCACTTGTTTGTTAAGACGTGACATAAGAGTGATTAAAATTTACACAGTCCTTGGCTGACCACTATGTAACACTGACAGTCTAGTGACTATATTTTTTACTCTCTAAAATCTTTACAACAGTGCATGCTGCCAACTCTGATATTTTATAGTGCTACCCTCATGTTTTTCGTTATAGAAACTAAGCTTAAATGTTACCTTAGCAGAAAATGAAAAAGAAATGGCATCTCTAGGCTTATTTTGTCTGTTTTTGCTTTGTCAGCGATCTGTGGAGGTGAGATACGTAAAAACGAAGGACAGATTCAGTCTCCCAATTATCCTGATGACTATCGACCGATGAAAGAATGTGTGTGGAAAATCACGGTGTCTGAGGGCTACCATGTCGGGGTGACCTTTCAGGCCTTTGAGGTAAAGTCTTTTAGACAACCTTCATGGGGCGTATTCTCCATAAATGACAATGGCATTTAAGGGAATCCTCATTAAATCAGCAAAGAAACAGGGAATCGGCCTTTTAATCAGCAAAGAATTGCCTATAAAATGTAACATCAAGAGTGTAGGCTTTTTTTTCCCCTTTACTTTCTTCTTCTTGTCGACATTTCAAGAAGATTAAAGTGAGTTTGCATTAACTGTGCTATTTGAATTAGTTGTTTGAAGTCCTGACAATAGATTTTTTTAATTTTTACTTTATTGTTTTGACAAACGGTTAGGCCCCCCCCCCCAGACCACTTGGAGCTAAATAATAGAAATCTTATTCCCTTCTAAACAACATAAAAGGTAAACTTTTGTTGTTAGGAGACTAAAGCTATTTTTTGCTTTTTTACTGTTACATAGATAACATAGATCAAAAATAGAAATTCAGATTTTTTAGGAGATTTCAATTTCCTGAAAAAGATTTGCTGAGGAAATCAGCACCATGACTGTGCTCTTGGATGGAGGGCTGGAATAGATCAAAGACCAATCAGAATGCTGGATCCCAAGTCTGAGTCCAGAACTACTAAGGCCAAGCTGGTTAATGCATCATTTTTGTGGGATGAGAGGAACTAAGATAGGGATTACACGCCAAGCAATGGTGAAACATTTTCAGGAACTATAGAGTGTGTTCAATTCAGACTTGGTCTGGAAATTGAGAGCCCAAACCAAAGTGGGAAGGAACAATGAAATAAGGGTGATTGGTCCGGACAATGGTTAGAAATGCAGTCTCAACTGATTAGAAAGAAACTTGATTTCCTGCCCAAATGCTCCAAAAGCAGTAAAAGCTGTGATCTACCTACAGACAGTATGTGTACTTGAAACTGAACACAGTGACAGGGATCCTGTCCGTGGCCCCGCAGCAGGAATGCTAGGGGAATCAAGGAGCTTCCTCTAAACCCAGAGAAGCTCATACTATCCCTGACAAGCCTGTGTCCTTAATTTCTTTAATATTTGTCTCTAATCCTTTGTATGTACCATATAGTTGCCCAGATATTTCTTTTTATCATGAAAGAATATATTTTCTGCTATGGTTCTGACATTATGTTTTTAGCAATCTTGGCTTTGCGATTGGCATTTGAATTTTATTATCTGAATCGACAATTAGGACTGCAAACTGCTCAGATAGACCAGTTTATTGTTAAAACTAAAATAAAAATAGATGGAAGGATTATACTTGTAATTTAGGTTGCAATTAGTGTTAAATAATTATCACTCTTGTGGTGATATTCCCTGTGTTTCATGTTATTTTATGAATGAAGACATTAATTGTCTTTCAATATATGTCACTGTATTATGAAATTCTCTTATTACAGAAATAATGTCAGAGAAAGCTTTTATGTGTTACATTTTTAAAAATATGGAACTTGAAATTGCTAGCTTAGCTTTTCTGCAGTTTTATTTTTTAATTTATCAATACAGTTACAGTGACAGTCTTTAAAAATAGGATAGGGTATGGGTGAAGAGAAAGAATTTGCATCTCAGACACTTGCAACCATGCCTAACATAGGCCAGTCATTTAACTTTGTTGACTGTTTGAAAGAACCAATGACCACTACATTTTGAGACTGAGGAAAAGGCATGCCTCAGTTTGAATGATAGTACATTTTACCAATCTCTAGTTTTCTATCATGATTTTAATTTTATTTGCCTGTTTTTTATTCCTATATTTCTAGGTGAACTTTTTTTTTTTGGCACCAACATAAACAGTAACTTACTCATGAGTCCCTTGCAAATATTACATTTTCCAATACTAAAGTGTTTTGCACAGAAATTAGAATTTAAACAGTCATGTTTTACTTGACAACATATTTACAGTCTTTTCATGAAAATAGTTGTTTGGTAACATAAATTGCTTCTGCATCAGTAAAAATATGGAACGCTTCACGAATTTGCGTGTCATCTTTGCACAGGGGCCATGCTAATCTTCTCTGTATCGTTCCAACTTTAGTATATGTGCAGCCGAAGTGAGCACAGGTGAACATTTTTAAATGTGTAGTAACAAGACCTCTTATGTTTGAAAGACCAAACCAAAACCTCTGTCTTTTTTAAAAACTAAACCTACTCTTCTTTAATTTATTTCAACACTTAGTATCATGATGGCTTACCCAAGACATATCCCTCTATTTTTTCCTCTCAAATTTCAAAGTCAAGCTAACAACAGATTTCATTGGGTCAAATATGCAGCATACATCATGACTTTACACCAACTTTCCTGCCTTCATTCTGTCTTTCTCATCAGTCTTTGCTTTAACTCCTGCTCAGAAGCCAAGGTCTCAACTCTTATCCTATTTGTCCTGTTCCTCACATAACTGCCTGAATGACACTTGGCTTTGACCTTATAAACTAGATTGTTATTCATTCCTTGGTTGATTGACATTTGGGTTGTTTAAGAGATGTGGTATTTTTATACAATGGAAAGATAAATTCAAGCCTTTTATACGCAAATGAATGTAACTTGGGACCATACTCATAGAGAAGTAAATCAGACTCGCATGTGTAAACATCGTATTGTCTCCCTAGTGTAAGAAACTAGAAGAATAAGTAAATTTCAAAAGGTACAATAAATATTGTGAAAGAGAAAGAAACTGCTCAAAGGGAAAGAACAACAGGGATGGGGTGAAGGAGAGAAAAAGGAAAGGAAAAGGAAAAATATATAAATGTGTATATACATACATAAGCTAGCTAAGATAATTGTACTACTAATTCTATTAGTTCAAGGAAAGGAGCAGATAGTGCTCATAATGTTTGATCAGTTTTTCATACCTGTATCTTATAATCTGAGCAACTCTTTTGAAGATAACAATAAGCAATATAACAACTCTTGTTAAACTCTATCATCTTGTCTTGAAATCCTGTACCACTATTGTTTTGTGTTTTTTATGTGTGTATGTTTCCTTTGTTTGTTTTTTTCTGTTTTTTATCTTTCAATACAAAAAATAAAATAAAATACAAAAGAGAAAATAAATTAGATTGTTACATTACTTGCAACCAGCCAGTGGGCTTCCATCAAACCTAAATTAAAATCTAGATTCAATGATCACAGACAAAGTCACTCTGCAGTTTGGCCTTTTGTTCTTTCCTCCTGCTTCTTTATCAGCTCCTCTGGTCTTTTTTCTATTCCCCAGTTCCCTAGCTTTTTTCCTCACGAAAATGTTCTGCATAGATATTCCTGTGCCTTTTTGTCTTTAATTTTACTTTTCTCACATTGTCAGATCTCTGCTTATCTCTTCCTTTAAAGTATTCCTTGCAAGTATTGCAAGCCTATTTACAATATTTTCATAACTATAGTTACCTCTGAACTATCATTCTGTTTTAATTTATTGCACTTATGAGTGTTGGAATTTGTTTTGGTAGATTTGTTTGTTTACTGTCACTAAAGTGTAGGGCTATTTCCAGTCATGCTGATTCCTCTATCTCCAGCACCAATGGGTCCATGGTGAGTGTTTGATAATAGATAATAGAGATTAGGATTAGTGAGTAAATGATTTCTTTATGAAGGGTGAGTAAATTTCTACTCTGAAGGAAACAAGCCTAGATACAGAGATTTAGATTATGGAGTACCTGATAACTATGTGGATAAATTTAGATTGGAGATACTAGATTCCAAGAAATTCAAAAGTGGCAAAGGACCGTATTTTCCATAAAATAAGACCTATTTAGAAAATAATCAGCCTTGAAAACTAGAGATCAAAAATAGCCCCAATGAGCCTAGCACTGTCTTGCCTAGTGGCTACTGTGTAAGCCAAGTAGCCTTATTTTTTGGGAAACAGGAACAGCAGGATCCTAATTATCAACTGAATCTTCTAGGTGAGGAAGCTGAGAAATCTCATTAACTTCATATAGTAACGCAATAAACTACCTTCAGAATCAAGGTATGGGTGATTCTGATATTACTTGCAAATTCACTCAGTAAAAATTCACTTAAGCCAAAAATCGATATTCACCATGATTTATTGGGTCATTTACAGACATGTACAGACTTGCACATTACTAGCTATGGTGTGCCTTACCGAGAAAATGTACATTAGATAATCTTAATTCAGGAAGGAGTCACAGCATTGTTGACTGAATTTAGCAGTAGTGAATTGAAAATATACATTAAGGTATCTTTAAATAGAAACACACACAAAGTAAAGTCAGGCTTTAACAAGCTGGTTAAAAAAATTGTGACTGAAATGTCACAGGAACCTAACACTGTGTTTGCTTAGGAGCAGTGATTTAAAAATTCAGTGTTCTCAGCAACTTTAGAGTGTAAGCAACTGTAGCAGTGTGAGTATCAAGAAGCTGTATATGTTTCCTTAATTGTTCTAGTCATTAAATGACTTAGTTTGTGATCTGTTTTTATCAATTATGGTATTTATATATTATGTTTGAACATACAGTTTATATGTGTAAAGAAAAGGTTCTCACAAGTTCTCAGCACTTATTCTGTTGAAATCTATTGTAAAGAACTTAGTACATTTTTATCTTTCTATAAATTTTTGTCAAAGTATTTCCTTTTCCAATGTTATTTGAATATTAATGTAAGTAAAGAAAGCAATCCTGAATAATTGCCTCTGTTAATGAATTTCAAGGGTCTCCCAGCAGGAATAGACACTATTTGGAGGGACCAGGTAGTGATACCATTTTGGAAAACCCGTGGCCAGAATGTTAGTCTGTGCCGCCAAATGCATATGTTGAGATCTTAATCCTGCAGGCAATGGTCCTCGGTGGTGAGGCACTTGGGAGGTGATTAAGATGGGCCTGTCCTGAATGGCATTAGCATTATCATGATGCTAGGGTTAGCTGCTAGCATGGAAGGACCAAGTGTAGAGGCCCCCCATAGGATGAGGCCAGCCCCAGATCCCCAGTCCGCTGACACTTTGGTCTTCCCCACTCCTACACTCCCTAAAACTGTGAAAAATAAAATTCTGTTGTTTGTAGACCATCCAGTCTAT